GAGTAGTGGCTGCGGCGGCGGCACTGCCGCTGGTGGCGCTGGCTGTAGCGCCCGCCGTTACCTTGTGATGGGAGGCGTTGCTGGCCTCCCCGGCTGTGTATCTGATCCTGGACGGGGTCGTGGTTGCGGCATTTGTGGTTGTAGCGGTGGCTGTACTGACCACGGCAGTGGTGCTCCTAGTGGCGGTGGCTGGATTGGCGGCTGTGGGTTTGAACGACCCTCGGGTCGTTGGGGCCCTTGGTGGGGGTCCTGATGGCGATGCTGTTGGCAGCTGGCCCGTCATCCTGGAGGCTGCCCTGTGTGGTTCAGGGTTTTGTGGGCTGTAGTAGTGCCCCTAATGGCGGTTTATACCCGTATTAAGGAGGATGTGTAGGGTGTGATCGTGGGAGTGACTGGAGTATGGTAAGGGCCTTCCTCCGATGCTAATAATATAAGTTTCTCGGCCGGACGCGGTGGCTCATGCCTGTAATCCCAGCACTTTGGGAGGCCGAGGCGGGTGGATCACCTGAGGTCAGGAGTTCCAGACGAGCCTGGCCAATATGGTGAAACCCTATCTCTACTAAAATACAAAAAAACAAAACAAAAATTAGCTGGATGTAGTGGCGCACTCCTGTGGTCCCAGCTACTTGGGAAGCTGAGGCCCGAGAATTGCCTGAACCCAGGAGGCGGAGGTTGCAGTAAGCCGAGATCGCGCCACTGGACTCCAGCATTGGCGATAGCGTGACTCCATCTCAGGAAAAAAAAAAAAAAAAAAAAATCATTTTCTCCAATTTAACAGCTTTATTAACCTAGCTTTCAACCTCCTAAATGTTATTTGATGGATGCACCCTTTACAGTCAGCAATAAGTAGTAGCTTTTGAAAACTATCCTTTTACTGACAATGCAATGTACAAACTTTTGACCAAGTAGCTTTTAAAATAATTTTTGTTTGAACCATACCAGGCATAAGACAGAGTTATTTATTTATTTATTTATTTCCTACACATGGGATTTTTAAGGAAGTGATATTTGTCTCTGGGAAGACAAAGTTACTTTTACTGTTCAAAGATAGTTCTATTAGCTGAGGAGTGCTGTGAGGTTGTGGGGCTCCTTTCTATTTGAGACCACCAGAGAATTGAGGAGTATTACCCTTTTTCATTATTGTAAGTTTGATTTTCAGGATACTTAATGTTGTAATCTGCAGGTCTCATTTTGTGGCATCTAAAGAACCTTTTATGAAGAATGCTAGAGTTCTTGCTAGAGCTGATCTACTCTCTAAAATCAGTGGCTCTAGTTCACTTGCAGTGAGAGAAGCATGAGATGGACTGTTTACTGAGAAATAAATGTAGCTTCTTAAACATTTCCCTTCTTTCTATACCACAAGTTACTGTTTGTTTTTTTGATACCTTCTTTAAGCGAGTGTCTCGGACTAAAATTGTGAGTAGTAGAAGAAGTAAGCAGTGAAGAAACAATATAGTGGGCCCTCCGGGGACACGAATTCCACATTTGGGAATTCAACCAAGTGTGTAGATCTAAAATACTTGGGGGAAAACCCCAATACAAAATAACACAACAATAAAAAATAATACAAATAAAAAAACACAGTTTAACAACTATTTACATAGCCATTACATTGTATTGGGTATTGTAAATAATATAGAAATGGTTTAAGGTATATGAGAGGATGTGCATAGGTTATACGCAAATACCTTGCCATTTTATATAAGGGACTTGAGGATCCCTGGATACAAATCTGTGAGGGGGTCATGGAACCAGTTCCCCACAAATGGCAAAGGACAACTGTAGTTTGACCTTTTTGGTTTTTTGCTATTAATGGTTAGAAAAGTTGCCTGGAGACACCAATAATAAATGGCCACTTTCTGGACAGTGTCCATCATTTAAAGTTACAGTGCCTTAGTGTTTATCTAGTTGTTTATTTTACACCTTGTTTTGAGTTTCTGTTCTTTTCTACAATAGCTACTCTCTTAAGATATTTGTGATTTGGCTGTTCTCAAGTTACTTCTGATGCTTCCTTTTTTTTTTTGGTAACTTTTTTTTAAGTCTTAATAGCTATTTTGTTTAATAGTTTGGTCATGAAATGAAACTGGATTTCTCTCTTGAAATGAAGCGAGAACTGAATTTATTATTTTTTTCTCTTGTAGAAAAGTCCTCCATACATTTTCTCCCCGATTCCATTCCTTGGGCATGCCATAGCCTTTGGAAAAAGTCCAGTTGAATTTCTAGAAAATGCATATGAGAAGGTAAGTCTTCCAAATAATTAGAGGGGGAAAAAACAAAAAACGAGAGAAGTGCTTTTTAAACTTTTTTTTAAAAAAGTGGCAGAACATTTAAAAATATTGTAATTGTATATGTATCTTCAGTATGGGAAACAAAATGGAAACTGCTCTGGTTTAAGAGATGGTATCTTACAGATACCTATCCTTTTAGCTTTTCCCATGTCCTGGGGTCATCTTTGAGACACCACTGAGGAACCCTGTAGTTCTGGCAACTATGGTTTAAAAGCCACTGTTCTGAGTTTTCTATTCACTTATTGTTATTAAAATTGATATTAATTAACCCTCATTTTTCTTTACCATGCATCTGTGGGATTTTCTAGCCTGCTCTATACATCTTCTGTGATTTCACTGTCCACTTGGATGACTCACATGACAGCATAGCTACTGAATTCTTTGCCCGTCTTCTCTCTAATGAGCTTTCCTGTGCCAGTTAAGCCATTTACTTCACAGTCTCACTTTGGACTTCTCACTCTTAACTCTTTCACCTTCACAGTATTAATTTAGATATCCTATTCTTAGACCATACCTTCTCCTGGTTTGCTTGTGCAACTCCTTAAATTATAACTATTCTTTGACCTCGTTGAATCTTGCATTCCATTTACTTTCTCCTGATCCATCAGCCTTCATTCTTCACTTTCCTTTTTCCACTTTGGGTCCATGGCATGTCGTTTCCATTACACTCTTGCCAATACTGTACTTTACATTTCCTAAACCCTGCATCTTTTCATTGTGTTCAGCTGGCAGAAGTCACCCTCGGAGGCAGCCAGTTATTGTCTCCCTCAGCACCAGCTTAGTTTCTTCTTGATTTTATGATTGCTTACCTTAATGATATTTGAACACTGCTCCACAGTCCTATTATGTTCTTGTGATTGGGCCTACTTTTCTGCTCATTACAATGACTAATTCAAACCTTCACTTTTCTTTTTTTTTTTTTTTTTTTTGAGACGGAGTCTTGCTCTGTCGCCCAGGCTGGAGTGCAGTGGCCGGATCTCAGCTCACTGCAAGCTCCGCCTTCCAGGTTCACGCCATTCTCCTGCCTCAGCCTCCCGAATAGCTGGGACTACAGGCGCCCGCCACCTCGCCCGGCTAGTTTTTTTTTGTATTTTTTAGTAGAGACGGGGTTTCACCGTGTTAGCCAGGATGGTCTCGATCTCCTGACCTCATGATCCGCCCGTCTCAGCCTCCCAAAGTGCTGGGATTACAGGCTTGAGCCACCGTGCCCGGCAAACCTTCACTTTTCTAAACTTCTGAATCTTTCTACCTCTCCATCAAAGCAGATGATTTTTTCTCCTGTTTAGGAGACAATGATTAAAAACATTGATTTAGGAGACAATGATTAAACACCATTTAAAGGAAACTTCCTCATTTTCTCAGTTTCAGATATGCAAACCTATTTGTATTTATATAGTAATCCTATTCTCTTTTCTTCCTATCACAGTAATAATTATAAAACATTTACTTTATGCCAGTACTTAGTGCTTTACAAAGATCATCTCACTGAAGCTGCACAGAAACCCTTTCAGGTATATTTGTTTTATAGATGACAAAACTGAGAAGCAGAGAGGATATATAATTTCTTCTTGGATTCACTGCTAGACAGTGGCCAGCCAGGATTTACACATGTTCTGATTTCTGAGCCTATACTTTTATTAACGATAACAATAATGGAAAACAAGTCATTAAGGTGCTAAGTAAGCCAAGGTACTCTTCTCTGCCCTGTATATAAAATTTGTATATAATTTTATATACAAATATATACAAGTATATAAAATTTGGCAGCAGCTCTGTGAAGAACTGCTATTATTATTATTACCATTGTATAGGTGAGAGAAACTAAACACAGAGATAGTAAGTTATCTGACTATAGGACCAAAGTCATACAGCAAATAGGTGGAGGAGCTGGGATTTGAACACAGACAGTCTGGTTCACTGTGTTCTACCACTTTGATTTTATTACAACTATATTTTGCCTCTTGTTGGAGGCTGAACTCTCCATCCCTCTTTTGTCTCAGGAACTTTTTACTTTTATTTGTTTTCTTAGTGTATTGTTGACTTCTCTTTCAACGACATCTTTCCTTTTTCTCTGAAAAATTCTTGTCACCCATTTAAAAACTTCCTTAAAGTGGCTTGTGAGGCTCTGTAAGGTCTAACGCTGCCTCGTGCTCAACTCTCATCTTCTCCTTTCTCTTTCCCTTACCTTTAGGGCCTTTGTGTATGTTTAGCTACCAAACTAACTCCTCATTCTTCTGGTCTGAACCCAGCTGTCTTTTCCTCTGTTAGGTCTCCCTTTTTTATATTCTCTCGTCACAGAGTTGCTTTCCTTTCTGAATACTTGTCACATTTGCAGTTTTACATTGATTAATTTGTATTTTTTCCAATAGACTAAGCTTGGTGAGTTGGGGACAGTATTTTTGTTCATGATTATACCCCCAGAGTCTAGTCTTCAATAATAATCAGAAAACTGCAAGGGGAAGCTTTTAACATCTAACCAAATTAATATAAAATAAAAAATGAAGTCATTTAATATAGGTGAGATAGTGCTAAAATAGATAAATAAACTTTTAGTTCTTCACATAGCAGGTACTATAGAAAAGGTCAAAATCTTTGGTTAGTCTTGTAAAATTTGTTTTTAAACAAAGGGGAAAGAAAAGTCTATGTTTTCAGAGGTGTTCATCACAGAATTAGCTGTAATAACTAAAGAAAACCCTGATGTCCAATAATTAAAGAGTAGTCAGTAAATTAACATTGTGATATTTATATAGACAATAGAAAATATTGTCAATATAAACTGAAAAAAGCATAATTAACAGTTATATTTGTACTACATTTGCAACTAAATGAACATAATTATAAATTTGGACAAAGGAAGGAGGAGTATGGCAAGATGAAAAGAATTGCTTTAAGGTTTATATATGTTTTTATTTTTTCAATAATGCATTCTTTTGTGATTTTAAAGTTATTGTCTTAGTGTTGCATGTTTTTTGTAACATCACCATGTGTACTTTTCTCTTTTTAGTATGGACCTGTATTTAGTTTTACCATGGTAGGCAAGACATTTACTTACCTTCTGGGGAGTGATGCTGCTGCACTGCTTTTTAATAGTAAAAATGAAGACCTGAATGCAGAAGATGTCTACAGTCGCCTGACAACACCTGTGTTTGGGAAGGGAGTTGCATACGATGTGCCTAATCCAGTAGGTGACACTGTTATACCATGAACAAAGGCAAATCTATACTTCAGTAGTTATAGCTAATAGTGAGACATTATACATTTAAAATGTAGAAACAGCCAGGCATGGTGGCTTATGCCTGTAATCCCAGCACTTTGGGAGGCCGAGGTGGATGGATCACTTGAGGTCAGGAGTTCGAGACCAGCCTGGTCAACATGGCGAAACCCCGTCTCTACTAAAAATACAAAAATTAGCTGGAGCTGGTGGTGCACACCAGTAATCCCAGCTACTTGGGAGGCTGAGGCATGAGAATCGCTTGAACTCGGGAGGTGGAGGTTGCAGTGAGCTGAGATCACACCACTGCACTTTAGCCTTGGCAACAGAGTGAGACTCTGTCTCAAAAACAAAAAACCACACCTACCCACCCACCCACCCACACACACACACACACCCATCCACCCACAAAGAAACCAACCAAACAAAAATATAATACAATGTAGAACCGGTTTATTCACTTGGTTCAAAAGTCTGAAGAATCGTGAGAAGAAGGGCCATGGATAACTGATAAGTAATGGGTATTTTGTTTTATAGTTGCTGTCATGGCTAAACAATATTAAAGGGCTTCCTGTATAAATAATGGAATCAGTGATAACTTAGCATATTGGGATTTAATATGAAAGGGTTATAAGACAATCCTGTTATTTCATCAAAAGGACTTCCTACCTACCCATTCCTGCCTGAAATTCTAACATAAGAGCTGTTTAGAGATTGCTGACTTTAGAAGTCCTCTTCTAATGCAACTACTTCAGGTGTGGGGTACATCTATGTGTATGTGTTACCCTCAAAAGCCAAATATGAAATTGTTTTAAGTTGATAATAGAACACAAATCAGACAATTGGCCCCAAAGCTTGGTGTGGGCTCTGGCTGTGAACGTAACACACATTAGCCAGTATCCTACTATAGCAGTTAAGAGTTAACATTAAATCTTGTTTGTAGTGATGGGAAATGAGGGAATGAATGGTTCTCCTTAAGGCCAAAAAAGAGGGCCCTGCAAAATCCCTCTGCTCAGATATTCATTTAGACTCCATTCATTTAGAGTCATATATATTTATTCTTTTAGACTCTTAAAATGTAAATGCCCAAAGGGTTAAAACCACTAGTTGTGTTAGTGTTACATAGGTATAATAATCTAAATGGATTTCATGATAAAACAAAAATGTGTTTTAGTGCTGTATCCCCTTTTTGAATTTTTTTGAAGGTTTTCTTGGAGCAGAAGAAAATGTTAAAAAGTGGCCTTAACATTGCCCACTTTAAACAGCATGTTTCTATAATTGAAAAAGAAACAAAGGAATACTTTCAGAGTTGGGGAGAAAGTGGAGAAAAAAGTAAGCAAAATGTTTTTTGTTTATCTTCACATTTCTACTTCTCTGTGAATAGAAAAGTAGAGTATATATGTATGTAGTATATAAAAAGCAAATTACAGTGTATGTAAAACTACCTTGGATTTATGGGAGGGATATGTAATGATTACCATGAAGTTGTAACTGAGAATCCAGCTTTTATACTGGGCTGCAGTTAAGTATTGCCTTCAGAGGCAATTGCTGTGCCCATAGTAGGAAGCAACATCTGCCCACAGGGCAGCAGGACCCAGGGCAGCAGGTCACTACATTCTGGGTCTGGCCTTCGGCCTCTGTAAGAGGTCCAGAATCTTTGTTTTTGGTGTACTTAAGTTGATATGATATATTTTCTAATCATATAAGAAACTGATGTATAAATTAGAATGCCAATGTAATAATGCATGTGAGACTTATAATTACAGCACCAAGAAATCCAGAATATTTACTGATATTCTCTTTATTGACAAATATAATTGGAAAGCCAAATGATCATTGGAAGTTCATTTAGTGAATGTGGAATTAACAGGAAATTAATTGGATAATTTTTGTGAGTTGAGTGTCATCAAATTATGCTTGCTTGGTGCGTTTGTCTCCAGTGTTGGGATATACTAATTGGTGATTATAGTTTTCTTTTGTATATGGCTAGTAATTCCATTTTAGTCCTGATCTTCCTACTTTTAACCTGGGAAATAATCTGATCTTTGGCTGCTGTTCCTTGGGAAGTACCTTATTATTGTCATATGTACTATAAATAACATTTTTCTGCTTTTGTTATTGTGACCTGAAAATCAAATAACCACATTTATTCTTTTTATGATGAAGTGCTCATGAGTGAGGTTTTGAGATGTGTTTCTGGGATCTGTTTTGCCTATTCAGAGGGACAGGGTACTTCCTATTGTTTGGCTTATTGCCCCTCTTTATTGTTGTACATAGTCACATGTCTGTCTACAGACTTTTTTTGATGATATCAATAGGATCTTGTTTGTTATTGAGCTCTGTTTTTATTCTCAATTTTCTTTCACTTTTTGGAAATAGTAATGAGAATAATCTTTTTTTCTCCCTAGATGTGTTTGAAGCTCTTTCTGAGCTCATAATTTTAACAGCTAGCCATTGTTTGCATGGAAAGGAAATCAGAAGTCAACTCAATGAAAAGGTGGCACAGCTGTATGCAGATTTGGATGGAGGTTTCAGCCATGCAGCCTGGCTGTTACCAGGTTGGCTGCCTTTGCCTAGTTTCAGGTATGGATAAGGAAGATACTACACTTGGTTATTTAACCTTGTGTAATTATTGTAGTGTTGGTATGCTTTGCCTTAACAAAGATAAAAATTAACATAATTTATTTTATTTATGTTTTTGTTTTTGAGATGGGGTCTTGCTCTGTTGCCCTGGCTGTAGTGCAGTGGTGTGATCTCGGCTCACTGCATTCTCTGCCTCCTGTGTTCAAGCAATTCTCCTGCCTCATCCTCCCGAGGAGCTGGGACTACAGGCATGTGCCACCATGCCCAACTGATTTTTGTATTTTTAGTAGAGACAGGATTTCATCATGTTGGCTAGGCTGGTTTCGAACTCCTGACCTCAGGTGATCCATCTGCCTCAGCCTCCCGAAGTGTTGGGATTACAGGCATGAGCCTCTGAGCCCAGCCTAGTTTAAAACCTGCTTACGTCACATATTCCTTATCCTCAGGAAAGTCTCTGAACTATACCTAAAAGTGATACAGCCCTTCTCTAAGCACTTGTTTGACATCTTGGGTGGCTTTTTATTTTATTGTGAAGTTTCTTTGTTTTGAATATTTGTGCCTTTATTTAATTTTCTGTTTCTTAAGGACAGGGACTGCCTCTGATATAAAGAAATACTGCTTTTAGGATGTGATCTATAGCTTAGTGCTTAGTGTTTTGCGTTATTAGTAGGCTTTCTATACTTTTGTTGATTCATTTGTGTTTAGGTGTTTAGGTGACAGATGGGAGGAGATAGATTGCTAGTCCCTTTTCCTTCTATTTCTGTCCCCTCTATCTAGTTATAGATTAGAAGAGGGGTGGGAGTAAAAGGAAGAGCCAGGAGAGATTCTCTAAAGTTCTCTGGAACTCATCATACCTTATATTTGCAAGTAGCTTTGCAGTTTCAAAATGTTTTAATATATATTATATTAGAACACCCAGCACAGCCCTGGGCCCATAGTGGGTTCTCCATAAATGTGCATTTCTTTTTTTTTTTTTTTTGAGATGGAGTCTCACTCTGTCATCCAGGCTGGAGTGAAGTGGTGCCATCTCGGCTCACTGCAAGCTCCGCCTCCTGGGTTCACGCCATTCTCCTAGCTCAGCTTCCCGAGTAGCTGGGACTACAGGCGCCTGCCACCACACTCGGCTAATTTTTTTGTATTATTAATAGAGATGGGGTTTCACTGTGTTGGCCAGGATGGTCTCAATCTCCTGACCTCGTGATCCGCCTGCCTCGGCCTCCCAAAGTGCTGGGATTACAGGCATGAGCCACAGTGCCTGGCCCATAAATGTGCATTTCTACCTGCCTGTTTCTACCTGCTGTGTCTCTTGGATGAAGTCAGAACTTGTTATGTTAAGCCCTTTACATTCTGGCCCAGTCTTTCTTTCTTTTACTCATACCGACTAATTTAACCAAATTATTCCATTCACCTTCTTAAACAGGCCTGTGTTTTCCTGGTTTGACTGTATTCATACAATTAAGCTCTAACATCTTCTCTTCTGTACACATGGTCTCAGTCGATTCTCAATAACAGAATAACAATCTTGTAAATGAAACAGTGTAGGAGTTTTTATTAGAAGGCTTGATTTAAGAGGGGTCTTGGGAGTCAGATTGCCTAGTTTTAAATTCAAGCTCCAATGTTTGCTTTCTGTGTGATCTTATGCAGCTAGCTATAACTTGAGGTTAATGTATGTACCTCACAGGAAGATAAAAGTGAGTAATTCATGTAAAATACTTAACATGGTACCTGCTACATAATGAACATATTATTTAAAGGTAAAATTTAGGAGTTGAAGTTTGTTTTCTGAATCTGCTAGTATTTTCACCCCCTACAAAAAACTGTTGTATTAGAAAGTGAAAAGTAGAATCAGATTCCATAGAAGAACCAGAGTGACTCTCCTACTTTAAGACTTGATTTGGTATTAAAATTGGAATTTTATGTTAATTTAAGAGTATTCTACTTTCTCTTGAACTGGAAAATACTCCTAAAGGAATTTCTTCCTTGTTTTAGACCTTTAGTTTGAACATAGGTAATATGTTAAGAATCTGAGATATATATGTTAAATAAAGCACAGTTCTTGCCCTTAGGGACTATGGACATTTTTAACAATGTAAGATTTTCATGACTTCCAATATGTTCCTGGTTCTGATTTTTTTGTCGATTATTTTAGAGTCATTAAAGTTAGTTAAATAAGGTGCTTTATGCTAGGTCCTGGTTTTCAAAATGAATTTGATCCTAGAAGGTTATTTCTTTATTAAAAAAATCATCTTTGTCTTTTAATTACAGACGCAGGGACAGAGCTCATCGGGAAATCAAGAATATTTTCTATAAGGCAATCCAGAAACGCAGAGAGTCTCAAGAAAAAATTGATGACATTCTGCAAACTTTACTAGATGCTACATACAAGTAAGTGCTATTCAGATAACATATTAAGCTGAAGCAGGAAATTACACATTAAAACACAATTAAGTAATATTTCCAGTTAAAAAACAGTGTTGCTGGCGAAATAAGTTGGTAACTATGATCCTTGGACTTTTTAAATTGTTGAGACATAAACTATCGGCATCTGTATCTTACTGTAATCCCAGTAACTGGGTATGGTAAAAGTTTGCTAATGAACTGTAATGGAGTCTTTTGTAATCAAAATCGTTTTGTGCTGGTCTGTCTCTTCCCTAAGAGAAAAAAACTCTGACTTGTGATAGTCAAATATAAGAGACTATTATACCTGAAAAATGTATTCATTATGTCACTTTATTTAAAGGTTGAGGCATGAAATGTATGTGCCAAAATGTTAAATTTGTGTGTTTGGTTCATTCCTTAGGGATGGGCGTCCTTTGACTGACGATGAAGTAGCAGGGATGCTTATTGGACTACTCTTGGCAGGGCAGCATACATCCTCAACTACTAGTGCTTGGATGGGCTTCTTTTTGGCCAGAGACAAAACACTTCAAGAAAAATGTTATTTAGAACAGAAAACAGTCTGTGGAGAGAATCTGCCTCCTTTAACTTATGACCAGGTTTGTTGGATTTTTCAGTTTCATTGCTGCCTTATGACTTTGAGTATCTGTGGCTAATTTTTAAAAGGGACAATTTGAGATTTTCTATGTACTATAGCTTAAACTGATCAGCGTCTCTATTTTTAGCAAATTCCCCATAACCTTACCTAAAATATCTTAATGCTATTGCTTCTTGCCATAACATGAGCAGAGACTTCTAAAAGTAGTAGTAGTAGTAGTAATGAGGACTAGATATTTACAAACACTTTGTGCAGCTTGCTGGGGTGGAAAGGAAGAGAGGACAACTCACTGCACAACCTGACATTCCATCTTGGAAGCAAACCTTGTTGATATCATCTTCCTGTTATCTTTTGTGTTTTTGGTCGTATATTAATATGGTGTATTACACTGATTTTCAGGTGTTAATTGTATTCCTGGGATAAATCCTACTTTGTCATGGTGCATAGTTCTTTTTATATGTTACTACATTCAATTTGCTGGTGTTTTGTTGAGGATTTTTGCATCCATATTCATAAGGGATATTGATCTCTAGTTTCACTGTGATGTCTTTGGCTAGTTTTGATATCAGGATCATACTGGTCTCATAGAATGAATTTGGAAGTATTCTTTTTTTCTTCTAAGTTTTGGAAGAGTTTGTGGATGATTGGTGTTAATCCTTTTTTTTTTTTTTACATATTTGCTAAAATTCAACAGTGAAATCATCTAGATCTGTGCTTTTCTTTCTGGGAAGACTTTACTTACTAATTCAACTTATTTGTTACAGGTTTATTCAGATATTCCATTTCTTCTTATGTCAGTTTCAGTAGTTTATATCTCTAGGAATCTGTCCATTTCATCTAGGTTACCTAATTTGTTGGCATACAATTGTTCATAGTATTCTCATAATCCCTTTTATTTCTGTAAGCTCAGTATTGATATCTCAATACTCATTCTTGTTTTTAGTAACTTTTAAAATAACAGCTTAATTGATATATTTACATACCATAAATCCATCCATTTAAAATCTATACTTTGTGGTTTTTAGCATATTCAGAGTTGGGAAACCATCATCATAATTTAATTTTAGAACATTTACATCACTCCCAAAAGACAGCCAGTACCCATTAGCAGTCATGCTTCATTCTCCCTGACTCCTGCCCTTGGCAACCATTAATCTCTTTTTGCCTCTATGAGTTTGCCTATTCTGGATATTTCATATAAATGGGATCATACAATATGTAGTCTTTTGTGACTAGCTTGTTTCACTTAGCATGTTACCAGGGTTCATCCATGTTGTAGCATGTATCATTACTTCAGTCTTTGTTATTACCAATAATACTCCATTATATGGATATACCACATTTTGTTTATTCATCAGTTGATGGACATTTGGGTTGTTTCCACCTTTTAAATTATTATGAATAATGCTGCTCTAAACATTTTTTGTATACTGTATATTTGTATTTATATACTGATTTTATGTGGACATGTGTTTTCAATTTTGTGGGGGTCATACCTAGGAGTAGAATTGCTGGGTCATAAGATAACTTTGAAGAACTGCCACACTGTTTTTAAAAGTGGCTGCACCACTTTCAAATCTCAATAAACAGTGTATGCTGGTCCTGACTTCACCCCCTCACCAAACTTGTTAACTTGATTTTTTTGTTATAGTAGGTGTGAAGTGGTACTTTTTTTTTTTTTTTTGAGACAGAGTCTTGGTGAGATGCCCAGGCTTCAGTGCAATGGCGCCATTCTTGGTTCACTGCAACTTCAGCTTCCTGGGTTCAAGCTATTCTCCTGCCTCAGCCTCCCAAGTAGCTGGGTGCACACCACCACACCTGGCTAATTTTTGTATTTTTAGTAGAGATGAGGTTTCACCATATTGGCCAGGCTGGTCTCGAACTCCTGACCTCAAGTCATACGCCTGCCTTGGCCTCCCAAAGTGCTGGGATTACAGGCGTGAACCACTGTGCCCAGTTGGTATTTTGTTTTGATTTTTCATTTTCCTGGTGACTAGTGATGTTGAATGTCTTATGATGTGCTCTTTGGCTTTGGTATATCTTCTTTGGGAGAAATGTCTGCTCACATCCTGTTCCCATTTTTAAAATGAGTTGTCTTTTTATTATTGAGTTGTAAGAGTTCATGTATTTTTTTTTTTAATGTGGTTTTGGTGTCGGAGAAACCAGTACCTAATCAAAGTGTATGAAGATTTATTTCCGTGTATTCTTCTTAGTGTTTTGTAGTTTCCTATTTTACATTTAGGTCTTTGATCTGTTTTGAATTAATTTATGTATATGGTGTGAGGTTATCATTCTTTTGTGTGTGGTTATCCAGTTGTCCCACACTGTTTGTTGAAAAGATTATTTTTTCTGCGTTGAATTGTCTTTGTAAAAAATCTATTATAGCCAGGCGCAGTGGCACATGCCTGTATTCTCAGCTGCTGAGAAGCTGAGATGGGAAGGTCGCTTGAGCCCAGGACTTGGGGTCCAGCCTGGGCAACATAGTGAGACCCTGTCTGTAAAAAAAAAAAAATGTTTTAAAAAGCCTCTTGACCATAAATTTAAGGCTTTATTTCTGGACTCAGTTATATCCCATTGATATGTTTAATCTGGTGCCATTACAGTAGTTTTGTAATAAGTTTTGAATTCGGGAGTGTGAGTCCTCTGACTTTGTCCTTTTCAAGGCTGTTTATCTACTCCTAGTCCCTTTAATTTCCATATGAATTTTGGGGTCAGTGTGTCAATTTCTGCAAAGAAGCTAACTGAGATTTTTGACAATGTTTGCATTGTATTGCTATATTAATTTGAGAGCATTGCTGTCTTAACAATTTCAGTCTTTACATCTATGGACATGGCATGTCTTTCTATTATTTTAGTTCTTTAATTTCTTTCAACAGTGTTTTGCAGTTTTTGGTGTACAATGTTTAAACTTCTCTTATTAAATGTATTCTTAAATATTTTATTATTATTATTATTTTGATGTTATTCTTTCTTCTGCCAGTTCAAATCTGCTGTTGATTCCCTCGGGTGAATTTTTCATTTCAGTTCTCATACTTCTCAGTTCTTGAATTTCTATTTGGTTTTCTAAAAAAAAATTTGTTGATATTCTCTATTTTACTAGCGATAACTAGGCATATTTTGCTATAATTCTTTGAACCTATTTATAATAGCTGATTTAAATCATTATCTAGTAAGTCCAATGTCTGGGCTTCTTCATTGATAGTTTCTATTAAACTGCTTTCTTTTTCTATGCACTGGCCATACTTTCCTGTTTTGGTGTGTTTTTTGTAAGCTTTTGTTGAGAACTGTACATTTAAAATAATGTGGTAACTGTGGAAATCAGATGCCCTCCTCCCTGGGTTTATGGTTGCTGGCTTTTTGTTATTGTTACTGCTGCTGCTGTTTGTTTATTGCTTTTCCTGGATTAATTATGTCATTCTTTGTTTAGTGAAGTCTTTGAAATCTCTGCTTACGTAATTACTTTAGTGGGCATCTGATATTTGGACAGAGATTTACTGAAGTGCTTTGAACAGCCAGTCTCCTAGCTTTTGCTGAAAGGCTCTGTGTGTGTGTGTGTTAGGGGATGTTATTAACACTCCAACAGGCAGTTACAAGTCTGCCTTCACTACCTGTGTATACAGGTCAGCCAGAGGTAAAAGATTACAGCCTCTTAGATCTTACCTGGGCAAGTGCATGGTCTTATACATATGTGTGGCCTTCAAGATCCTCTTATGTTGGAACTTTTCAAAGTCTCCTGTGGACATCTTATTCTCCAGTTTTCCCTTTTAAACTTCTTGTTCTGTCTCTTAGCACCAGTTGATATCACCATCTCTGGTGCCTTCAGTGTTAAACAATTTTTGCTAATTATTTTTGGAAAATTTGCTCTGGCTCCTCTAATACTTGTTAGGCTTCTGGCTTTCACAGCTGCTATAGTTGCCATGCTATCGGTTTCCGGGGCTACCATGGATTTGGGGAGAGGAGGATGAGAGAAATACAACTTCCACTACCACAAAGCTTACTCTTCTTACCAAGATTCAGATTTATTTTTCTTGAATTAACTCTCCTTACATTGTTGCAAGCCTTTGATTAATCTTCCGGAATTTTGAAAAAGTTGACATTGAGATTTTTGCTACCGTTTTCATTTTTTGGAGGAGTGAATTTTGTAGGTTCTTACTTCATTCTTCAGGGCGGATCACCTTTCTTTCTGTTACCTTGCCCTCCTTTTTCACCTTGGACAGTGTGGTAGAGCATGATAATCCCAGCCACCTTGAACCAGTTACCTCTACTTTTAGCTGGAATGCAAGCTGTCTTGTACTAACCAAGACGTTAAACTAATTTTTTATACTGTTGAAGTATGTTATTTATAACAATCAGTAAATGCTTTCTCATTTTAGCTCAAGGATCTAAATTTACTTGATCGCTGTATAAAAGAAACATTAAGACTTAGACCTCCTATAATGATCATGATGAGAATGGCCAGAACTCCTCAGGTGAGTATCTTGGCTACATCTTCCCCTCTATACCCCCAGTTTTTATTTATCAAAAAGAGGAAATAACTGGGTGTGGTGGTTCACACCTGTAATCTCAATACGTTGGGAGGCTGAGGTGGGAGGATCACTTGAGGCCAGAATTTGAGACCAGCCTGGTTTGAGACCAACGTAGTGAGACCGACCTCATCTCTACAAATTTTTTTCTAAAAATTAGCTGGCCAGAATTGCACATGCTTGTGGTCCCAGCTACTCAGGAGGCTGATGTCGGTAGATTGCTTGAGCCTGGGAGGTTGAAACTGCAGTGATCCATGATCACACCACTGCACTGCTGCCTGGGCAACAGAGCAAGACCTTGTCTCAAAAAAAAGGAAAAGAGGAGGTAGAGTAGCATAAAATAGATTTTTTTTTTAAATTAAAAAAGTAGAATAATCATTTTTATCTAACTTCAGTTTTATATATTCTAAAAACATATTTTTAACATAATTGTAGATAGTATACATACTAATCTTTTTTTTTTTTTTTTTAAAGATGGGATTTCTCTCGTTGCCCAGGCTGGAGTGCGATGGCGCAATCTCGGCTCACCACAACCTCTGCCTCCTGGGTTCAAGCGATTCTCCTGCCTCGCCTCCCGAGTAGCTGAGATTACAGGGGCATGCCACCACACCTGGCTAATTTTTTGTATTTTCAGTAGAGACAGGATTTCTCCATGTTGGTCAGGCTGGTCTCAAACTCCTGACCTCAGGTGATCTACCCGCCTTGGCCTCCCAAAGTGCTGAGATTACAGGCGTGAGCCACTGCGCCCGGCCTACATGCTAATCTTTAATGCTAATCATGCTCTGCATTTTTCTTTAACAATTGGGGTTTTAAAAATGAAAGTACATATTTTTCTTGGTTTTAAAAATAACATTTTGTTGTAAAAAATTGTTAATATGAAGTGTACAAATTGGATAGTGAAAGTCTCTCTGAAATTCAAACCCTACCTCCAAGGCATTATGGGTTTGATTTGTGTACTGTGTACTTCCAACCTAACGCTGGCTCACTGGAAATCATCTTGAGTTAAAATAATTTTTAGTTTGCCTATTATCTAGCCAGTTTTTAAATATATGTACAGATGGTTCTTGATTTATGGTGATTCAACTTACAATTTTTTGACTTTATGATGGATTTATCAGGATGTAAACCTATCATAAGTCAAGGAGCATCTGAGTATCCATGTATGTTCATGCTGTATTACACAATTATCTGATTATTTGGCAGCACATTTTTAAATTCTCTAATGAAATGTGTGGCTTTTGTTTATAGACCGTGGCAGGGTATACCATTCCTCCAGGACATCAGGTGTGTGTTTCTCCCACTGTCAATCAAAGACTTAAAGACTCATGGGTAGAACGCCTGGACTTTAATCCTGATCGCTACTTACAGGATAACCCAGCATCAGGGGAAAAGTTTGCCTATGTGCCATTTGGAGCTGGTAAGATGATTATATTTTATATTGGAAATGTTTGTTCTGATAACATACTTGTCTCTGTCAAAATATTCTGTATGAATTGTGTTTACAAATTATCTCTCCCTTTCCTCATTAGGGACATTTTTGCAAACTTTTATAGGAGACGAATCTTTATAAGTTGGAGAAAAATATTTCCTTTGTACTAAATGGAATTGTTCAGTGAATCCTTATATAATGCTTCATTACTTCCTAACCTGTCTGGTTTTATTAGGTCTAATTTTTATAGTCCACCCTTGTTTTCCCTTACAATAGTATTTAAAGCTATTTGTGGATTTCTCTTTTAAAGAACCATTGGAGTCAGCACACCATTCAGGGAATTAATTTAAGTTAAATATAAGAGATTACTAGTATTTCACAAAAAAGCAAAGACAGTCTTTTAAAATTAAAGCTTTTCTGGATTTGCTCTCTGTGACTATCCTTATGAGAAAATGGTCTTTGAATCTGGGCAGGTTGTGTGTAGGCTTGCAAATTTCATTTTCAATAAGATCCTAAAATAATTTAGGTATACCCTTGTTTCTCCAGTAATTTCTTTATCCATTGGTTCTCTGTACTGATTAAACTATGTTCTATGACTTGAGTCTTTCCAAAGGGATCATTTAAATGACAGATGACTTGTCATTGGTCATACTTTTTTCCATGTATAAAGGAAAGTATAAAGTCCTTTGGGAACTTCATATCTTAATTTTATGTAATAAATTCAATACTGTGGTATATAACACAATATATAAAAGAATCATAGTTTTTTTGTTTGTTTGTTTGAGAGAGTCTTGCTTTGTCACCCAGGCTAGAGTGCAGTGGTGCAATCTCTCAGCCCACTACAACCTCCACCTCTGGGTTCAAGTAATTCTCGTGCCTTAGCCTCCTGAGTAGTTGGGATTACAGTTGTGTAACCACCATGCTCAGCTAATTTTTGTACTTTTAGTAGAGACTGGGTTTCGCCATGTTGGCCAGGCTGGTCTCGAATTCCTGGCCTGAAGCGATCTGCCCACCCCGGCCTCCCAAAGTGCTGGGATTACAGGCGTGAGCCATGCCACCTGGCCAAAGAATCAGATTGTTATACAGATGGGAAGAGTGTTAGTTCTGTAGCCCAATTTCTGCCCCAAAGATGAATCATTTCTAAACTAGTAATTATCTGGTTTCCACTTGAACTTTACTAGAAATGGGTTGTGGGTTATTCAGTTACCTTATATGATAGCTCATTCCATTTTTGGACAGCTGTCATTTTTAGAGCCTTATATTAAAGCTGAAATCTGTTTCCTTTTAACATCCCATTTATAGTTGGTCCTAACCATAGTCTCTGAACTTATATTGTATGGGAGATTTGAGTACAGATACAATGTCTCCTCAATCTTTTTTTCAATCTTCGCGTTAGTTTCCTAGGGCTTCTGTAACTAATTACCACAATATGGGTGGCTTAAAACAATAGAAATTTATTCTCTCACAGTTTTGGAGGCTGAAAGTGTGAAATCAAGGTATTGGCAGGACCATGCTCCTCCTCAAGGTTCTACAGGAGAATCCTTCCTTGCATCCTCCTAGCTTCTAGTGGCTCTTGGCAATCCTTGGCTTGTAACTACATCATTCATTCCAATTACTACCCATCTTCAACAGGCTTTCTTCTTGTTCATGTCTCTGTATCTTCACATGGCATTCTTATAAGGACACCAGTCATTGGATCTAAGGCCTACCCTAAGTCAGGGTGATCTCATCTTAAATAATTACGTATATAAAGATCCTATTTTCCAGTTAAGATCACATTCTAAGGTTCTGGATGGACTTGAATTTGTGGGGGGATATATGATCTCACATTAATCACATTACATGTCTCTAATTTCTTTACTCATTCTTTTACTTTGTAATTGTGCTGTTTGTTTATGTTGGTGCATATAGTTCATTCATTTTCATAATATTACATTTTGTGAATCATCAGAATTTATCTACTCTTTTGTTGATTCAGTTTTAGGATACTTCTTGCTTGTTGTGATTAAATCCTTTGACTATTCTTCCTGTAAGCCAAGCTTCTCTTTAGTTGTTATATTTGAAATATGGACCAACTTGTAAATGCTCATCTTAAATGTCACTCCTAGAAATAAGTACAGTTATGGGCCAAGCAAGCACTGTGCTAAGCACTCAGTATCAGTTTAGGTTTCTTCTTTTGATGAAAAATCTTGCAATGAAATGCCCAAATCTTAAGTCAACATTCATTGAGTTTTGACAAATGAATAATCTTTAGTTAAGTCTAATTTATCAGTTTTTTAAATGGTTATTGCTTTCTGGCCCTGTCTTGAAATTTTTGCTTAGCTCATGTCATGAAGATATTCTCCTGTTCTTCTCTACTAAACTTTATGCTGTTAGCATCATGGTTTGTAACCCTTCTGGAATTAATATTTGATTATGGTGTGAAAAATTTCATTTTTCCCCCATGTAATATCTAGTTATTCCTGGACCTTATGTTGAAAAGACTTTTCTTTTCCTCATTGGCTTGGTGTCTTTATTGAGAATCAAATAACCATAAAAATACTCTGTTCTGGGCTCTGTGCTCTGTTCCATTTATCTATTTGTTGATCCTTACCTAGTACCACTCTTGTGTTTTACCTTTAGTCTTGAAGTCAGATTTGAAATCAGTTTTATGTCTTCCAACTCAGTTCTTTTTCCAAGATTGCTTTGGATATCCTAGGTCCTTTGTATTTACATATACATTTTAGAATTAGCTTGTCAGTTTCTACATGAATGTGACTTTTTAGTATATGTATTATTTTGGGTTCATTAAATCTCATTTTCTTTCATAATCATTTATAATGACATTTGAGGTTTTGACTGGAAGGTTTTCATATTGACTTTTAACTAGGGCTTTCTTGGGACAGAAACAGAATATTCTACTATATTCCCAAACTAGATTACCATCTTATGATTCAAACTTTCCCATATATTTAACCCAGATATATGTTTTCAGTAAAAGTAATTGGAAAAGTTATGTGATTAGTCAAGTACTGTTTTCCTAAAATGTGATATTGAAAATCTCCTGGAATTTTTAATAATTCACAGTTTTATATGAAAAGAATGTCATCTTTTTATTATACTATGTGTACATTTGCTATTCATCTAAAATGTAAATAAAAATATCACCTCAGAGTAAAAAGGATGAGAAAGAATTTAAACCGATTCTTGTAACTTTTTCTTTTTTTTAGGGCGTCATCGTTGTATTGGGGAAAATTTTGCCTATGTTCAAATTAAGACAATTTGGTCCACTATGCTTCGTTTATATGAATTTGATCTCATTGATGGATACTTTCCCACCGTGAATTATACAACTATGATTCACACCCCTGAAAACCCAGTTATTCGTTACAAACGAAGATCAAAATGAAAAGACTGCCAGGAGCTAATATATGTGATCGTCACTGTAAGCCACAAAGGCGTTCGAAGAGAATGAAGTGTACAAAACAACTCTTGTAGTGTACTGTTTTTTTGAGTGTGTAATTCTAAAAGCCAGTTTAACTTATGATTTAGTATTTTGTTAACTGAATGGTTCTATCAAATATAATAGCATTTGAAACATTTTCTAATAGTTATGTTACTTATACATGTGCTTTCAGGAAGTTCATTAGTAAAACAACTGTTCGGGGGGGATCTAGGTAATTGGCAGATTCTAAATAATATAATTTCCATGTAGTAATTTTAAGAGTACTCATAGCTCTTGCCAAATAAGTTCAGGGTATTCAAACCTTGGACTAGTCCTGCAAGGTATAAAAAATAAAAATCCCAGTGAGATACTTGGAAACCACAGGTTATTATTTATCTGGGCAATTATTGTGTGTGTGAGGATGGAAGAGGGAATAATCGAACATCTAAAGCCTTGAATAAGAGAATACTAACTGTTTTAGTATGATGATATTCAGAAATGGAGATGTTATAGAAAAATAAATCCTTTGGAATTTTAACTAAAATCACTGCATATAGGAAATTAAGAGATCTAGGACCATATTTGATAAGATTTCTTAAAAATAATGTAATTATTAATGCTAAAGACTGCTTGTGTATCTTGATCTAATTACTAAATAATTACATGTTTACCTGATAAGTATGTATCTAGTTCTACAAGGTCACATTTATGTGGAAGTCCAAAGTCAAGTCCTTAGGGAATAATTTTGTTTTGGCTCACATGTTCCCTGCTTCCTCTCTTTTTTTTTTTTTGAGATGGAGTCTAGCTCTGTTGCCGAGGCTGGAGTGCAGTGGCACGATCTTGGCTCATTGGATCCTCCGCCTCCCGGGTTCAAGCAAATCTCTGCCTCAGCCTCCCAAGTAGTTGGGATTACAGGCGCCTACCACCGTGCCTGGCTAATTTTTTGTATTTTTAGTAGAGACGGAGGTTTCACTATGTTGGCCAGGCTAGTCTTGAACTCCTGACCTCGTGATCCACCCGCCTCAGCCTCCCAAAGTGCTGGGGTTACAGGCATGAGCCACCGCGCCTGGCCTTCCCTGCTTCCTCTCTAGAATCCAGTTAGGGATGTTTGTTACTACTTGTGTTGATTAAAACAGTTAAACTAACTTTTTTCTTTTAAAAATGTGAGATCAGTGAACTCTGACTTCAAGATAATCTGAAACCAGGTCCTTGGGAGTAATATAATTGGTCACATTCTGTAAAGCACATTCTGTTTAGGAATCAACTTATCTTAAATTATAACTCCGGGCCTAACTATATGAGATGGCTGAAAAAATACCGCATCATCTGTTTTCACTAGATGATGCCAAAATATTTTGCTTTCTGTATATTACAGTTCTTTTTAAAAGGCTGGAAGACTCATGTTAAACTCTAATTGTGAAGGCAGAATCTCTGCTAATTTTTCACATTACAATTCTCTTTGAAAAAATATAGCCTGTATTCATGAATTGTAAAGTATGTGCTTCAGTGAGCAGAGTTAGGGAATCCAGGAACTTGAGTGAGGGAAAAATTACATCTTTATTTGCACTAATTTCTAACTGCAATTTAGTATTTATTTCATTTATGAATTTGGGCAACATTAGCAGTATCCATATTTTGTCAATAGAAATCTCAGATATTTTCATATTACAGATGTTACAGATTTCTTGAAGTATCTAGTTACGAACCCGAGATAAGGCTAGTCTAATGTTTAGTGAATAGTTTTAGACTTAACAGATTTCATTTTTAATCACAGACTAATTATTGAGGTGCATAAACAAGTGTGACTGCAGAGGCCTAATATCATAAGGAGGCTTGGTGGTCAAACAATGGCAGTAAACTCAGCTTGATCAGATCATTTGTCCATGTTTTTTTTCTCCACTGTCTCCTAGAGCAGAATGGCCTTGAATGGCAAGCCATGCTTAGCTGAAAAAGGTTTTTACCCACGACCTGCCCCTTCAACTAACTGCTTTAGAGTATGTTTGCTATTTCTAGAATTCCTCTTATTGGAACCCAGCTTCTAATGTGGAAAATTTAAGTATAGTTGGCCCCTTGTATTTGTGGGTTCTGCATACTCTGATTCAACCAACTGTAGGTTTAAAATATTAAAAATAAAACCCCACAACAATCAAAAAATAAGTAGCAACTATTTACATAATGTTCACATTGTATTAGGTATCAAATAATCTGGAGATGATGTGAAGTACACAGGAGGATATGTGTAGATTATTTGCAAATAGCACATTGTTTTATAAGAGACTTAAGCATTCGCGGACTGTAGTATCCAAGGGGGATCCTGGAATGAATCCCCCACACATGCTGAGGGATGACTGAAATTGGAAATGTTCAAGACTGTACAACTTTCTCCCATGCCTGTTTGTGTTGGTATAAATCATGGAACATCAAATAAGAAGACAAAATCCTCCGGATGTAAGCATCAAATACTAGTCCTCTTGCTGTTTTTAGTGAGTTGCCATGTTATTGGGGAGGACTCCAGATGAGAAATAACATTGCGATTTGTATTATCTCTGTGACAGCCTCCCAGTCTGAATTTGGCTTGGGCAACAGGGATACTGTTTAATTCTGCTGCGATGTGATTAAGATCTTTTGAGTTAATAATTTCTTCATCTTTTTAGTGGGCCATGGATTTGTGAGAACACTTCTTTGGAATCAAGTAACACTAACTGTAATGCAGTAAATATTGATCAATCATGAAATACCAATATAGCTTTTAAAAAACATTATGTAGATGTAAAGTTGATACAAAGACACATGGAAAACTTTTCAACAGTATTAACTCTAAGATTAGGACAACTTTCTCTGAATCTCTTACTCCTACATATTTGACATAAGTAATGAGATGCTATGTACCAAGAACTATAGCTCAGTTAAAAATGAAGAAGGTTCAAATACAGTGTGGTGAAAATGGTGAAGTCATTTTTATTTCAGTACTTGACAAAATACCCCATAAAATTCGAAACTTCTACCATTATACAAAAATAGGTCTCTACAAGTGATATTATCTGTTTTCATCACCAGTAGAATATATTAGGCAAAACATGTAACTTCAGTAGCCTTATAAGGAAAGTGCAGGACACCTTGAGCTACACATTCAGCAGTATTGTAATGCGTAAAAGTTTAATCTTTTCACCCATTTGATAAATACACAAGGTTCATAATTTAATGTTTTAAATTAGCATTCCACAAATATACAGGTAATTCAATGATTATTGTGCATGAATACATACACAATGCTTATATATACAAATTCCAGTTTGTTTTCATGTGCTGGCAAGGGATTTGTATACAATCATAAGCTGTGTTCATATTGGTCCCATCGAATATTCACAATACAAAAGCACAAAAGAACCAATGATTTACAAAATGAAATCTGTTTAAAATCACTTCAACTAATGATGTTTCAAAGGATTATCTTCTCATGCCAGCATGAAATTGAGTAGTTGAACCTATGAGAGAAAAACAGGAAATTCAACTGATTTCAAATTACATTGCTACCTGTATCAGACCCACTAGAGTTCACACAAAGGAAATTATTATTCTCCATTTTTTTAAAAGCCCTTTTTTCCTTAAAATGTCTTCATACTTAAACTGATAAACTGGTCCCCCCTTCCCCCCCGCCCCCACCCTCCGCCGACATGGAGTCTTACTCTGTTGCCTAGGCTGGAATGCAGTGGTGTGATCTTGGTGCACTGCAACCCCCGCCTCCTGGGTTCAAGCGATTCTCCTGCCTCAGCATCCCGAGTAGCTGGGACTATACATACGTGCCACCATGCCCAGCTATTTTTGTATTTTTAGTAGAGATGGGGTTTCAGCATGTTGGCCAGGCTAGTCTCGAACTGGCTGGTCTTGAACTCCTGACCTCGTGATCCGCCCGCCTCGGCCTCCCAAAGTGCTGGGATTACAAGCATAAGCCACCGTGCCCAGCCCATATACTTAAGCTGATTTTTAAGAGATTTTGAATATATATTTAAAAATCACCATGACTGACTCTATAGCAAAGTAGGTGAGACTAATGTATAGAGTTTTTTTTAAAGTGCTCTCAAAGTTGAATGTTCTATACCTCATACATTTTTGAAAAATCTTTTGGTCTTCAAAATCTGGGTTTTGTGAAATTTGGATGCTCAAAACAAAACAAGCCAAGGCAAACCAACAAGCACACTCAGCTATGATAATAGAAGTTTCCTATTACTACAAGATGCTTGGGTTTAAACAAATGCTTTCTTGAAGGAAGAGAGAAACTACTAAATGATTCAAAGTCTTTGAATCAGGAGTGAACTGAAGTGAGAAAGGGAAAAGAGGTTTTCCTTCCATGAACAGGGAATCCACCTTTATTTTAAAGTATGAATTGCTTTTTGTTTTTGAACAAAGAAAAATAAAAGAATCCTTACGAAGTATTTTAAAATGGGATAATTTTTTTGGATGATACATAAAGGCACAATATAGTAGCAGGGAAAATGGTTACATTAAGTGCTTAAAGCAAGTGCTTCCTCCTTAACTCCACCCGATTTGTATGCCTTACCACTTTTTTTTTTTTCTTTGAGACAGGGTCTCACTTTGCTGCCCATGCTGGAGTGCTGTGGCACGGCCTTACCACTTTCTGCCACGCACTACTTAGGAATACGTTCTCCAGTAAGGCTCTGTAGACTCAGAGTGCCTTGCACATTGGTGCTCATTGTGCATTTGTGTCATCAGTCCGCTGAATGAAGATAGTAGGAAATCATTTTTGGGAGGAGAGATCTGGGGTGATAAATCATAAATCATATTTTCACTTAAATTATTTAAAGTCAGTTTCTCTGCTGGTTACAAGAGTTTAAGCTTTGGCTAACTTAATAGCTCATGCGCTACACTGGAAGCTTTGATTATCCTAATGATGAGTGTGAAAGAATTTCAAAAAAAGGGGAGCTGTGGGTCTAGCACTGTGGTGCTGCCAAGATGTGGTTAAACTTAGAGCACCTGACTGTACAGTTCCAAGTCGTCTTTGCAGTGCCTCCAGCCGAGTGATATAATCTGTTAGGGCTCTGTCAGGATCGTAATTCTGAAGCTGAGAACATGCTAAAGAACCAGGAATGAAATCAGCTGGAGTGCCTGGGTACCTAAAGGATTAAAAATATGTACATGAATCAAGTTATCCAGAAATATGCATACAAGTTACCAACCTGCCTCTACTCCCTTCCCCAAAAAGGTGGGTCACTTGTACACACATAATGTATATCCCCTAAGCTTCAGCTTTGGAGTTTGGGATGAGAAAGAGACGACTCTTCAATAAATTCAAAGATGCTACTAAGTCAACATAACAATGTCCAATACAATGCTTGTGGCAGAGGTCTCAATAAATTGGGTATGTATAAATGCATCTTGTCATGAAGATTGTTACGCTTTTCATAATGGTCAGAGACTATCAATTTTAATCAATACTTTTCCCAATATCTAATCACAGCATATACTAAATAACACTTGGTCAGCTTTGTTTGCTATACCCTTGGAAATCAGTTACAAATTTAAACACTGGTGTTTACATTTTTACATTGAGCCTTAGATTATGTGCATTATTATTATTATTTTTTTGGAAACCAAGTCTTGCTTTTTGCCCAGGCTAGAGTGCAGTGGTGCAATCTCGGCTCACTGCAACCTTTGCCTCTTGAGTTCAAGCGATTCTCCTGCCTCAGCCTCCCCAGTAGCTGGGATAACAAGCACCCACCACCATGCCTGGCTAATTTTTTTGTATTTTAAGTAGAGACAGGGTTTCACCATGTTGGCCAGGCTGGTCTCGAACCAGCTGGTCTTGAACTCCTGACCTCATGATCTGCCCACCTCAGCCTCCCAAAGTGCTGGGATTATAGGTGTGAGCCACCATGCCTGGTCAGATTATGTAAATTACATATAACAAAGATGTCTGTCTCAATGCAAAGAAGTCAAAGCCCTAAAAATGTCCATTTTTCTCTGTTACATATGAATACATTTAACAATTCCAGGCAGGTTTTCTCAAATTCTTACCTATTCTGAAATGGTAAAGGGGACCTAATATAGTCCAGATCTGATCTTGAGCGATACGTTGTGTGTCTTGGTTCTCCATATAGCTCCAGCCCACCAGAAGAATGAAAAAATGAGTCAGTCTTTTCTGCACCTAAAGTAACCCAAAATATTTCTTGTAAAGAAAAATAAAATCCCAAGCCCTTAAAAAATTTCTACAAAATAGATAACTGCTCAAAAGACTATTATACTATATTATACCATCTCCTATTTATAGTCATTTCTTATTATTCTTGCTAAAGGAGAAACAGTGCAAACAAAAATTTGGCTTTCAAATGTTATTTTGTTTACTTTTGAATATGAGTATTTCTGATACCTGGAATTATGTCTCAAAGAAAATTATTTAATTGGTATACTTTCTTTTTTAAAGACCTTAGCTCTAAGTAGATGAGAGGTGAGGG